GCAGGCCCGGATCCAGAGACTGGTTTTGGGGGTGGCGCAAAGCACTTCTTTCAGAGGAGCTTGACACTAATGAATCCTTCTACTTGCATTAATATCGACTAACTGCCTGTTGTCGTTTGGAGAACTTGAAGATCTTTAAAAAATGTTGTGCTTTGGGGGTGGCGATCGCCACATCGCCACCCCCTCTGGATCCGGGCCTGATGGGAGAAACAATTCGAGAAGAAAGACGAGAAAAGAATAGGAAATTCTTACATGGGAACAAAAGGTACAGTCCAGAAGCCAAAAAAAAAAAACAGTTAAAAACAAATCCAGGAGAACAGTCTACAAACATTCATATCAAATGTAAGTAAACATTTTTTCTACTAATTAATATATTTATTCACTTTCCTACAAACAAATTTTGACAGGAACATGTGGCCAGTCAAAAATAATTAATTTAAAATAAAAACAAAACAACTTGAAATTTATGAAAACAAGAAAATATCCTACACAAATGCAGAAAAACGTAGTTTTAATGCGCAACCATATAAAGGGTGTCCACATATTTTAACCATTTTGGTGTCACTGACAAAGAATTTTACAGCGGAAACTTATCAATTTGGGGAACAATTCTGCTTGATTTAAACATTAATAATCTGTAACATATTTTAATTTTTTAAAAATTAAGTAGGCTTTGTCAGGAAAAAAAAATTCTTTTCTATGGGGGCCAAAGCTGCTTTTTGTACATGTTGGACAAAATCATTAGGAACACTTTTTCAGAATTAAAATTTGTTTCCATATTCCATTGGAAACAATTTGCCCGCCTTGATTTTACAATTTCACAATGCTTTGTCGGTAAAGTGCCCTTTTTGTAACAGATCGGGAAAAATTTTTTTAGAACAGTATATGGTATGTCCATATTACATTAAAAGTGTCAATCACTTCTGTCGGTAGAATCTTATGATATTTTTTTTATGAAAAAGGGACTTCATTTACACAAAAGATACATTTTTTGCTGTTGACCTAAGCCTACTTAATTTTTCAGTAGCAAAAGTATGTAATAAATTGCTGTTTAATCATAAATACTGTCTCCCAACACATTTAAAAATCGGGTTGTTATAATGCAGCCTACTATACTTCTAATCACTTCTTTGTAGTAGCCACCTGATGTATGTTGGTTGCAGATGTCGATTTAAAACAATGTTTTTCTCCATTTGAACAAAACCAGATTTTTTTTTAACAAGGATGACTTTTTCATAATGTGAGAAATGAGAAAGTTTTTTCTCTTTTCAACTCCATTCGTTGATATACACTTCAGGAAAACTTTAAAGGAACAAATAATTTTCATGATTTTTTCGTATAGAGATAATAAAAAAGCGTTTTGAAATCTATAGTTTTAAGATCTTTTAAGAGCAATCGAAAGACCAAAAATAAATAATTTTTTTTAAGACTCAAGAAACTTGTTTCAAACTCAATTCATACAGAGGTCAGTTAGCTTATTTGTTCAGCTTCAATTTGAATTTTAAAAGCTTTCCGAGCGACTACTGATTGTCGAGATATCGATAGTTGAATGAAAAATAACACTTTTGTGTTAGTCATCAATATCTCTGCAAGAAATTATTGCACAGAAAGTCCAAGGGCAGTTTTAAAAACATGAATAAATTCTCTGCAAAGACCTGTTACGGTTTTTGAAGAATATTTTTTTTTTTCATCCTTAAAATCAATTTGAAAAAAGTGCAGAAAAATGCTTTTGTAAACTATTTAATCTAGCTTTAAAAACTAGAACATTTCCAAATCGCTGGAAAGAGGCCAGAGTTTGTCCTGTATTTAAAAATGTAGACGACAAGTCTAAAGTTGAAAACTATAGACCGATATCAATTATTTCTAATTTTTCCAAGGCCTTCGAAATAGTTCTCTATAATCGTATCTATCTTTCTGTTCATAACCTAATTTCTCAATACCAGCTTGGATTTGTTAATGGTAGGTCAACTGTTACCAATTTAGCTGTCTTTGCTGAATATGTCACCCAAGTTTTAGATAATAGAGGACAGGTAGATGTGCTTTATACAAACTTTTCGAAGGCTTTTGATAGGATAGATCACAAGGCTTTACTTTGTAAACTTGCAAACTTTGGTTTTTCTAACGATTTTATTGATTTTATTAAGTCCTACTTATACAAGAGAATGCAATATGTTAGTTACAATGGTTTTGATTCTAACTCTTATGTAGCAACCTCTGGAGTAGCTCAGGGTTCTACACTTGGTCCGTTACTGTTTATTTTGTTCATTAATTATATAAGTGAAGTAATTGGCTGTCGTAAGTTATTATATGCAGATGATTAAAAATATTTTCATCCGTAACTAGGCTTGAAGATTGTAATAATTTGCAGAAAGAACTTGACAATATACAATCCTGGTGTGTTGAAAATAGATTACATCTTAACGCAGCCAAATGCAAAATCTTAAGTTTTTCCAGAAAGTTATCTGTCCATAAATTTAATTATAGTATTGATAATATTGTATTATCCCGGTGTGAGTCTTGCAAGGATTTGGGTGTATTGTTTGACGCAAAATTTTCTTTTACTGATCATGTAGTCCTTAAAATAAATATTAAGAAACTGTAAGCAATTCACAGACGTAAATGTTATTAAAACTTTGTATTTTGCGTATGTACGTTCTAGATTGGAGTATGCAGTGCTTGTTTGGTATCATTTTTATAATATACAAAAGATTCTTGTTGAACGTGTTCAGAGGAAGTTTTTGAAGTATCTGGTATTTAAAGATGTTGGTGTTTACCCTGAGAGGGGTATAAGTTACAGTGTGTTAACTAGTCGATTTCATATTACCAGTTTAGAGACCAGAAGAATTTGTATTTCAGTAACTTTTTTATATAAGATTTTACACAATCTTATTGACTGCTCTGAATTACTTTCTGCTATAAATTTTTATGTGCCAAGGCTAAATTCAAGAAATACTGTTACCTTTAGATGTAATCCGGCTAGATCTAACATTTTACTGAGATCACCAGTGCACGTCATGTGTGGCAACTTTAATAGATTACAACAACCATGTGATATTTTCTATTGTTCATTAAATATCCTTACGAATTTAGTCATTGAAGAGTATGGTAATTAGCTTTTAGTTGTATTTATCTTTATAATTTTAATATTAAATGTACTCATTATCATTTATTATAGTAGAATATTTGTATGTATTCAGATATATTTATATTTTTTTGTCTATTTATATATTGTATTCATTGTTTTGTTTATAAATTGCCCTGTAAATGGATTTCTGTTGGGCATTAAAGCATTATTATTATTATAAGAAGGCGCTTTCGTAATGATGCTTTCGATGTCGCTAACAAAAGAAAGAAGAATTTGAAGACATATGCCGTGAGAGGATAATGCAGGTGGTTCCAATGGAATTGAAATGTACAGGTATAGTTTTTGTTCATGTTTTGTACCTACATACTTATTATTCGAAATAAATAATTGCAGCAATTTCCTGAAGTCTACATCATGCAGTTGCCGGATGAAGACCGCTTCATTAAGCACTAGCAGCTCTGTTATGTTAAATCCATCTTATTAAAGAAAAAAACATTTACTATTCGATACTTGTATTTGGGAAATATGGTGTTTGTTTATGGTTTTTGTAATGGGAATGCTGTTGAAGAATATCCTCAACGGTTTCCATATCACAATTGTCCTGATAAAAATGTATTTATCAGAATTTTTAACAAACTGTGTGAAACCGGAATGCTTCCCAGTTCTTGTATAACATCTGAACGAGCTCATCGATAAAATTTAGAAGAAGCAGAAAATATTCTGGGTCTAGTAGAAGATGATGCAACTACCCGCTCACGAAGAATTCCTACTCAATTGGGCATTTCACAAAAAAGGGTAATAAAAAACCCACCCTCCACGAACAAGGCTTATATTCGTACCATGTACAAAGAGTACAACGCCTACAACTGGAAAATTATGCTAAGCGTATCAAGTTTGGTCGATGGATCAATAATAATCATCTTGTTGTATCCCACATACTATTTACCCGCAACGGTATAACTTGTACTTAGAACTGTATGTATGGTCAGAAGAAAATCCTCATGCAAGTCTTGAAAGTAATTTTCGGCATAGGACTTCGGTAAACGTGTGATCGATAGTTATTTAATCGGTCCTCTCATTTTATAGGAGACCCTTAAACTTTTTATAAAAAGAATTACAAGTACTTCTAGAGGATGTTCCTGTAAATATGAAAATGTGAATGTACTACTAGCATGAATGAGGTCTTGCACATTTCGCTCATCCAATCAAGTTACATTTGAACAAGAGGTTTTCAGATTGTTGGATTGGCAGCGGTGGTCCTATTAGTTGGCCTCCAAGATCTCCAGACCTCATAGCACTGGATTACTGATTATGGGGCTGGTTCAAAAACGAAGTGTACAAAGCTAGAGTGAACACTCGGGAGACACTAATTCAACGTAACATTAAAACAGCAGTAGTGATTCCAGAAAGACATGGCATCAATGTCATAGCTTCAAAGCAAGCGAAAATCGTAATATTTGGGTTTCTTCTCATTAATTTGTCGTGTAGAATCCATTACTGGAGTTTGGTGCAATTTTCCTGGCTTACCCTGTATATGAAATATCCATTTCGAGGAATTTCAACATTACAAAAGTGGCCATCTACTATAAGTCTGCGAAATGGTAAATAGCTTGCCGTTTTGGAGATAATGGAGGTTGCTAGTGAAACAAAATCTGCTCTTGAAAGACTCACAGTTCTTTGCTTTGATGAAGTGACAGTAGCATGTCTCTGAATATGATCAAAAAGAGTATGACGTGATTTAAATATAAGCATTAATAATACTTCAGTATTTCATCTGATTACTCAGAATAAAACATATTTCCTCTGATTACTCAGAATAAAACATATTTCCTTGCGGACGTCCCACATCTATTGAAATTAATTGGTAATTGGTTCCTCGACAAAGGATTTATTTTAAATAATGGGAACGAAATAAATATACAGTCATTCTGTGATTTATTGCAAATTTCAAATGCTGAGGATAAGTTCTTATTACACGTTAACAACTCTACACCTGGTCTGTGAAAAAATTCATAGACAAAATGCAACTCTAGCAGCTCAATTGTTTTCAAATACCTACTTCAGCCTCACGATGTGATAAAAGTCTTGCAGAAGATGTTGGTGAAGCAGTGGTTCGATATAATGAATTCATTTTCGCCAAGTGCATCTGTACGTACAAGAAAACCATATGGAAAAGATTTGACTGTTCAGGATGGCGTTCTTAACAGGATGAAGGATGCTTTTCGACATATACAGTGTATATCAAGAACAAGCTTACAGATTTTTAAAAAAGGGGTTATAATTCCCTCCAGGAACTTTACAAGGATTTGAAAGAACGACTCGGTATTTCATATTTGTTGACACGCTGCTTAAATCAAGACTGTTTGAAGAATTTATATTCACAGGTAAGTTATAGTAAAAAGAATCTTTTCGCACGCTCAGGTAATTTCGCACCTTTACTAAATTTGTTGCGACATTTTTTAATTGACGTTTACAAATTAACAATCGGTAAGTGATTTCCGTAGAATTTTAAATATCGATTTTTTTTAAAGACAATTAAAATTACATACAATTTCAACAGTTATTAAAATTTATTGAAGCAATAGAATTCTTATTTAAAACAATGTTCTCTTCCGATGATGCTATAGTTGCTGCACTTTTTGCAATAACACTGCGCTGCGATATCACTTTCTGTCACCGTAGAATTTCCTTAACAATTTCAATGTAAAATCTAGTTTGAAAATTAATTTTTATTTTTCACAGAATCTTCGATATATCCTTCAGCTTCATAGTACGAATGCTACCCACTGTGCCGTTTAAGAGCTAAAATATCTATTTCTTGGTTTCCCATCTCGCATTGCTAAGAATAAGCGAGCTGACGTTACCTGTTTTAGTCGTAGTGCTAGATATTTTCTATAAAATTTCAAAAAATTAACTATCTCGTTTCCTTGATTTGTTATTATTAACGCATCTTTATTTTCAATGTCATTTATTTTCATATTATATTAGTCAACTGATTTTGTGTTTGTACTGAATTCATTATTCACTTAATTATTAAATATTAATCGACCCAGCAGTGTCAAAAAGTGAAAGATGCCAGACAAAAGTTTTTATTTTGTAATTTCACGGTAGTGACAGTGTAATTTTTATAAAGAAGTAAAAAATAAGAATAGCGTGCCAATTACATTAAAAACGAGATTCTTATTTCTTACTTTGCTTAATTGTTTAGTTTGTGCACAAATTAGTTTTACAATGAACTGAGAAAACAATGCATTTACTATTTCCGAACGTGTCGATATGGTGTTAGTGTATGGTGCAGCCGTCGCGGCGACTAGGTTGTACCGGGAACGATGGCTACAACGTCACCCCCCATGTGCAAATACAATCCTACAGTACGTTCAGCGGCTGCGAGACACGGAAAGTGTTATTTTTCGAGGAGAAGGACGTGATCAGCAAGTGAACCTTAATGTTGAAGATGCAGTGTTGGAAAATCTTTACGAATACCCCACAATTAGTACTCGACGACTCGCACAGCAAGTAGGAACCTCATCTCGTACCGTACATCGCATCTTAAGACGCCAGATGTTGCACTCCTATCATCTGCAACCAGTTCAACAGATTTTACCCCCGGATTGTGATCAACAAATGCGTTTTTGCAGATGGTTTTTACGGCAATGTGCCAATCAAGTAGACTTTCCATAATATGCACATATGGGCCGATGAAAATCCTCGTGCGATTAGGGAAACTCATTTTCAACATCGGTTCTCGGTAAATGTTTGGGCTGGCATAGAAGGCGATGTACTTGTGGGTCCCTATTTCTTTGAAGGACGACTAAATAGACCAACATATGCTGACTTTTTATTTTTACTATTAGTTACTGTATAATAAGAAAATATCAGTTTTTTATTAAATATCTATTTTTCTTAGTTTGTACTTTTGCATTGAAAAATTCCCCAAAAATTGAGAAGTATCTTTCAACGATGATTTGTTTATGCGGCTGGTCTACAGCACGTAACTCATCGTACAGCACACGGATTAAACTTTAATTAATAAATAATTAATATAAGACTTTTCTATTACAAATATCATCAGGAAGCTGTAGTTTAATTTTTATAGATTATACACGCCACACCCTGTATAGTTCCAAATTTCATTCCTACATTATATTTAAATAGACTTCATCAGAAAATTTATTTAAAAATTTGTACATGTGTTCCCTGGTAGATTCTTGATTTTTTTACTTTATATCCAGTATTTTTCCTCTTAAGAACAGCAATTAACGTAACATATTTTGAAATACCAACAGCTTTAGCAAAAATATTGTGGTTTTGAGCATCGAGTATTCAGCCAATAAGCTTCTTGGACAATTTATGGTTTCATTTCCCGAAACATAATAAGCTAGCATTACCTTTTCTATGATATTTTCAAAATTTTTCTCGTTACACCATAGCTTGAAGGTTTTCTCGTACCTCTCTTTGCACTTCTCGGGAATTATGGCTGAGAATCCTACTTGCCAAACATTTTCCAAGCCCGTCACTCACTTGTCGTCACTTTCTTGAATCGCAACTTACAAGAAGCTTACGGTGCGCGTTGGGCAAAAATACTATCTTGGACAAATTCCTAGCGACAGCAGACGTCACTTGACAATAAATATTCTCTCTAAGAGCAACCAAAGCTGAAACTTTTTCCTGTACGACTCGTTTGTTTATATATTTTTAAAATATTCATTTTTTTAGTTTTAATTAAATTCATTCAATGCAAGTGCAAAAAACGTCATAAGCACTGCGGTCATTAAGTGTCTTACTGATTTCGGATATTTCGGAGATCTTGGCTTCATAACCAGTAAAGACCTTAATACTTAAACTATTTCATGAATATTTTATAAACAGTTTATATATTTTTAGATAAGGACTAAAGGGGCCTATGTAACTGCAGTGTATGGAATAAGGATGATTTTGCTCTCAGGATGGTGCAGATACATACAAATTATATAGAAAATTTCGTGATAAATCCACTGAATTTATTTTAGCAGTAGCTCTCAAAACTGCTGAAATAAGAAGCTAACCCGCAACCAGTTAGGAACAATGAAGAAATTGAGTCGAGTATTGCAAGTAGCAGTAGTTCAAACATATCACACACAGAATATTTGTGAAGACGGGCTACAGACATCGCAGGTATTTTCATTTTTGATTCATTTATTTATATACAAAATATGCCTGAATATTTCAAAATATTTTTTTTCTGTTGAAAAGTTATGATTAACAGTAAATATTAAAAATTCAGATAGTTTCATAGCATCAAAAGGAAAAAAATTGAGATATGAAAGGTAATGAAAGTGTTTTGGTAGTTATTTGTATAAAGAAAACCATATGAAAATACAGGGTTACAACTTTTTAATTGTCCAGTACAAGTATCTTTCTTATTTTAAGAGATGACTAAAACTGTGCAGAATTTTATGCCGATCACGGATTCGTTTTTAAATTTTGAAAATTCCGAATAGTTCCGAAGATATTTAAAGGAAACTGATTTTGCACTATTTCTTCTTTAGTTGTATTTCACTTGTTTTGTAGTCCGATATAAAAAGATGTGAGGAATCGGTTTTTGTTGTCAATATTAACGTACCTCTAAAAATGTGTGCAGAGCGGTAGTTACCTTTTGTTTTTGTTACAGACGCCATATTGAATGTTTGTGTTATTTGAAGAGAAATTTTCCTTATAATGATGTATAATTTATGGGGTTTTCGTATATAAATAATGTGAAACATTTGAATTTCTCTATAAATTAATTCAATATTTCTTATTTTTAATACTTTTTAACACAGCAACCTTTATTTTCGTAACAATAACAAGAGCAATGGACAAACCAATGTGTCCCGTTTTTCAGGTTAACACCTCTGAAAATGTGAGAAGGCTGGGGACTTCGCAAACCAATTTTTTTACAAATATTATCCTGAAGGGAGGTTATATTCTACTAATCATTTTATTGATGTGACAAAAGCTCATTTTTAGTAGGTACGTTAATTTTAATTTTAATTTTACTGTGGCCGCAATTAAAAGTGTTAAATTTATATAGTCTGTATTTTTTCCTTGTCCGATTGGTACTTGTTTTCACTTTCATAGCAATCTTTGACCTGCTGATTACAATTTTTAGTTGTTGATTTTTCCTGATTTTTCGAAGTTTAGCACCTCATAAAAAACACTCAATAGACATTTGTCGATCAAATTTGGTATACGGGTATTTTGATGGATGTTGAATAGCCTGGTAATATTATCTTTTTGATAAAAAAATGCCTAATACCACTCTGGAAAAATGACCCATTTAAAAAATCGTAGTAGGTCAGGCTTTTGCCGTATCATTAAAATGATTACTAAAATATAACCTCCCTTCAGGGTACTATTTGCAAAAAAATTGGCTTGCGGAAAGTCCACAGCCTTCTCACATTTTCAGAAGTGTTAACCTGAAAAACGAGACACAGTATAGCTAAAGCAAAACAAAATTAAATGGTAAATTTAAATTTTATCACAAATGTTTGCAGTCGATTCATTTCTTCATTAAATTCCACAATGCGTCCAGAATGATTCGTGTCTTTAAGGTTAAAATCACTTCATTAAAACGCGAAATCCATTTCGTTCATTTGTCGCATCATCAGCATACACGACATAAATTGAGCAGCTTTAGCGTTTTCCCCATCTCCATTAGAAGCAAGTGCCAAAAATGATCAATTTTATCAACTTGACACTCCATTTAAAATGAATGAAAATTCACAAAAATCTGGTCATCGAGCACGTGGATTCGATAACTTCAGAAGGTTGTAACTTCAGAACAGTAGTTTTCCAGACGTAGGTCCCATGGACTTTTTTGTTCGACACATTGAGGACTATCAATCGGCAAAGTTTCGTACCATTCCACCGGGACCGGTTTTCCATAAGGATAGTTGTGCGGTCCTTTAAAAACTCACGTAAAAATTAAACGCAATGTCACATTGACACATGTCATTCGAAAGAAGCCTTATCGCTCCATCAGACTGTAGTTTTAGTTGCGTTGTTAGATTTAATTCTTTGTGAATTTTCATTCATTTCAAATGGAGTGTCAAGTTGATAAAATTGATCATTTTTGGCACTTGCTTCTAATGGACTTTGAAAAAATTGGACTTTGCTTACTCCCTAACCCATTACTAAGATGCTATAACAGAAATGTTGTGTTAGTATGTAGTTATTCTTATCAGATATTGTGTTTGCAGGTTTTTTAGCTAGAAAGTATATTCATACATATACTCTAGGATCGCCTGCTTCCTGGATACAAAGTCTGTCTTTGGGGGGATTCGCACTGAACCATCCAAAACTTTTCAAATGCAAGTCATAATATTTCAAGAAAGTTATCATTAGCTTTGTTCCTAGTAGAATCCAAAACAGTTTCCAACAGTCAGACGCATGCGCATATGGATGTAATGCTTACATAAGGTTCAAAATTCATTGTTTCGAATCAAATGCGATTGCGTCGGACTGTTGGAAACTGTTTCTAATGCACTAGGAACAAAGCTATTATCTTCAGTAAATTTTAAATTTATTTAAACGATAACACAACCAAAATACCTCTTTTATAGAAATTGTCATAAATGTCTGATATTGTTGTTTTTTTAAGTATATGTACAATTTGAGAATAAAATTGTTGCTATAATAATTGTTCTGTATGCTACAAGTGTGGAATATATTTTTTTTTTATTGGTACCCTATTTTGCTTATTTAAAGCACTCCCCAGAGTGTTTAAATCCAACTTTTAAAAACGCGCGTTTTAAAGTTGCCATGGCAACATCAAGAACCTGAGAAATGTTAAGTCTAAATGTCACCTTTTTAATTATTGATCTGACAGAAGTACCTTGTAACGTCAAATAAAATATTACTAACAAATGTTTCAAAAGCTTTATTCAAATATTTAACATCTTAATTATTTAAATGAATGTGAAATGTGCAGTTGGCATTGTTTGAAATATTAATACTTCGGTTTTTTAAATCAGATGAAATGATGTTCAAATTAATACATTTGACATTTTCTGAAGATAAGCAAGCACAACTATAGAGACTACACAACTAGTCCCCCTGGTTCATATGTTAGATTTCATTCTACGTCTACGTTAGTACCACAGAACACCCTCTAGAATAGAAAGCTAGCTACTTCCCGCTAATTTCCAAAAAGTTGGGATCTCATTCACTCGCGGCGCTGCTGGCGACTTTATAGTTGAAACAAAAATACAGAGATAGCGCTACATGTTTGAATGGTTTTTAAGTGAATCACAGAAAATGCGGGCACGTAATTACGCTTAACGTATCGATTATTGTTTTAACACAGGTTGTTATTGTTTGTTTAATTAAGCGCTGTGGTTTCACTTTGTTTGGTTTATGGTATTTTGTAGAGTATAAAAGAAATAAAATATACTGTAAGTAGTAAAAGATTTGCTATATTTTCTTATCCCTTTATATTGACTTAATGAGCATGCTGTGTGATTACTGATTATTATTGGGCNAATTCCTCAAAAAGTGACCACCGCCCAATTTTTGTCACATAATGCGCAGTAACTTGTTAAGTATTAGACATACAAAAAAAATTATATGGAAGTTGTTCAGAATTTGATCCTTTACAACTTTTATTAAGGTCACTTTGTTCTAAAAAATATTTAGGAAACCACCCCCATAGCGCATTTTTTTTTTATAAAATGACATCTTTAATGGATTAACTGGCGACGAGGATTAAAAGGAAGTGAAGAGGCCACGTGTTTGTCGTATCAAAGGGCAACGCTTTACTCCACGTTTTCAAAATCGCAGGTCTAATCGGGCAAGTAAATGAGTTCGACCACATAAATAGGAATTCGATAGTTTATGATGAAAGATTAGAGCAATATTTTTGCGCTAATAGCATCGTAGAAGCAAAAATAAAGGTAGCGTTTTGAGTCTAATTGGAACATCGACGTGCAAGCTAGTAAGAGACCACAGAACACCCCCTAGAATAGAAAGCTAGCTACTTACCCGCTAATTTCCAAAAAGTTGGGTTCTCATTCACTCGCGGCGCTGCTGGCGACTTTATAGTTGAAACAAAAATACAGAGATAGCGCTACATGTTTGAATGGTTTTTAAGTGAATCACAGAAAATGCGGGCACGTAATTACGCTTAACGTATCGATTATTGTTTTAACACAGGTTGTTATTGTTTGTTTAATTAAGCGCTGTGGTTTCACTTTGTTTGGTTTATGGTATTTTGTAGAGTATAAAAGAAATAAAATATACTGTAAGTAGTAACAGATTTGCTATATTTTCTTAACCCTTTATATTGACTTAATGAGCATGCTGTGTGATTACTGATTATTATTGGGCTATTGTCCTCTTAAATAGCAATTACCAATAGTACTGTTCAAATAATTCATATATGTAATAATAAAAGTCCACACTGTATACCTATGCCAATTCGTCCATCATTTTAGAACCGAAATGAAAAATTTTTTTATAATTATGGTAAAACCCATTTCTATTAAGGAAATTAGAAAATGAATATGTTTTCTTAAAATAAAGTACTGGTTATTTTAAACTACTCTTTTTTTTTACCTAAAATAATTTGTTAATAAGTGATGGGTTAGTTTATTTTTATGCAAAATTTAAGTTATTTTTTTAATAGTTAAATTTATAAATAGATTTTATTTCATACTGTTCAATAGTGAACCATTTTTTGAATTATTTTTAGGACAAAAAATGGAACTAAAGTTCTTAGACGATAAAGTAAAATTCTAGTACTTCAAAGAAATTTCTATGGTAACCCACATATTACCATAGTATAAATAAATACTATTTGATTTTTTAAATAAAGTCATAAAAATCGTATGTACCGTGGACGAAAAGTAGCTTTAGAGTACTCGTAAATTTTCACGGCCTCGACTACGCTTCTGCCGTAAAAATTTACTAGTACTTTTAAGAGAGGCATGAAAAGATATATCAAAAATAGACCTTTACCAAAATCTGTTCATTTCAAAAACCGTATAGTTTATTAATAGCATTTAGCAATTACGTATGTAGATAGAATATTGGGCTAGGACTTGACATATTTTTTAATGCAAAATACCTTGTATTATTAAAGTTATAAACAATTGAAGTTCAATAACAAATGAATAATTCATGTCACAGATCGTGACTAAAATTTGTCATTTCCTGCCTATAGTCTTCAGTAAAGGGTTTCCTGAAAATTGGATTTAAATGCGTACTAATGACAATGAACAAATTTTTGTAAAATTATTATTTGTCAGCCATGTTTATCAGCCGCGATGTGCACCCAAGCGTATATACATATGTATACAGGGCAGTTTGGACATTCTGTCACAGATGGCAGAACCGCTTTGCAGAAACCTGTTTTGTTTTCGCAGTAATTGATGATAGCATTGCCTAAATAAGGGCGTGTTCACATGAATCGGTCGGCGTTGTCGGACGATATCTGGGTCCCTTTTTTAATACACACACTAGAAAGAGACACAAGTATCACCCGACAATGCCGAGTGTTTGATGTGAATATACCTTAATACCTCAATCGCGCCATTATTCTATGGCTAGAAATTGGCCACAATGATTTGGGATCGAGGGGGATTATCCCTCTTTATCCTGCCTCATCTCGTGTAGGCCTGGACAGCCTTCGTAGGTGGGCCCCATCCGTCGTCTACCCCGACCGCAAATGCGGCCGGTGTAGGCGCTTTGTGGGACCTCCTTTTGTCCTGGCTGGGCAAATTTTTTTTTTAGAACCGAAACTACTAATCAGAAAAATGCAAATGTCATTCTTCATCATAATTTCATAATTTCTTCGAAATCCGACATCTTCAGCACTTTCCGAGCAAATACACTATAGGGTCTGTGACACAAAACATATAAAAGAGTCTGTGAAATAAACTAAGCACAATCCGTGTAATCTATGCTAAGCACCACAGCTAAGCACGAAGTCGAGGTTATGATGAACGGTGGATCATAGACCTATTTTTTAGGTCTATGCGGTGGATAAACGTCATCACATCACCACCAGCACCACCAGGCATGCTCAGGATTAGATTCTTGTAAAGTCCCAGAACTTTTTGAACCGTTCGTAACTCGTTTAAAAATCGTGTTGGAACAGCGAACGGAAAAGTACTGACGGTACTGAATATGTGTAGGAACGCGAAAATTGTAATGCGCAGACTCATTACGATTCCGAACCATCCCGAATTTTAGTTGAAACTAACCTAGTACTCCTAGTAGTATCTCCATAACAGTTCAAATTAACTCTGATTCCAATATTTTTCTAATTGTAAATTAAGTACGTAATAATAGGTTTTAGTATGTTTTGGTATTTTTTTTACCAATTGGTATTTATTACTAATTCAAAGTTGGCAACACTGGTGGGCACCCCTGAGGTAGTAGCACAGCTATTAAGCTGTGGTAGTAGAGTAGGATAGTAGGGAAATAATCATTCTCGAGTAGGCACGTTGTTGTAATTTTGTGGTTTTTTTTTGCAAAATTTGTTGTCAATTGTAGAGACGTGAACGCTTTTGCGACGAGGGTGTGCTTGAAGTCATTTTCCTATTGTTAAGTGCGGTTGTTGGGGAGTTCGCGTGGTGAGTCACGAGCTGAAGGCTTCGGTGCAAGTGCTAATTGCGCGGGACGAGCCAGGTTCTCCACGGCAGTGGCCGCGAGAGACAAGTTTCCGTTTTGGAAATCGCGAGGGCGACAAAGCCGTTACCTCGAGTCGAAAAACTTAATACTTGCCGACCTGTAAACACGGTCTTAGTTGTAATGTACGAACCTGAGTGCAATTCTTTGTTTTTTTTTCGTTGTAGTGATTCCCCGAACTAAAGAACTCAATTGGAACGGATAAAACTGCTTTTTCTGGTTAAAAGTGCCTGTGTGTTGGATTACTGGAGGATATATCCCGATATACCGGAGACGACGCCGTTAGCTTCTACTTGGAAAGCTTGCAAGTCGATGTGCTTTTGGGAGGTACTTTATACTTCTATTTTACACATACCGTGCGAATTTGAAGTTGATCCCTCATTTTCTTCCTTCATAATTTATTTATTTTAACATTTTTTTTTAAGTTTTTTGTCATAATTTACCCCTTGGAAAGCCTGCAAGTCAATGTGCTTTTAGGAGGAACTTTATATACCTCTATTCTACACAGTGTCTACTGCTCCTTGAATCCCTTGAAAACCTTGAAAACTCCTTGAATGGATTTAATCTACTTGAAATACTTGAAATCTCCTTGAATCGAACTAATGATCCTTGAAAAAATTGTTCGCAATCATTTTATTTAATTACAATTTTTAATGAATTTAATTTTTTTTTCTCCTTGTGTTATGTTGAATCCGAAAATTGCTAAAATTCGGATTCAACTGGCTTTAGAAGTTTTAGTCGAGCATAACCACTTTGATGAACTTATTTATTGTTGAAGAAATTGAAAAGGATTACCTTAAATTTATAGAAAATGACGCTGTAAAAAAAAGAATTATTAAAGTTTGATGAGAAAATCA